TTACTACTTTCAACATCAATATTAATTTGATTTATACCTTTAGCAAGGAGATCGTCAATAATCACTTGCAATTCCTGGACTTGGGTAATAACAGACTTGCTATCCACCATTTTGTAGTCCAAAAACTTTGCAGCAACGAACTTCTTCAACCCGGCATCTTCGGTTTTGTATTTATTTTCAAGCGCAGTCCACGGTTCTTTTGACATTTCCACGCCACTGTAGACGTTATACAAAGCATCCTCCAGCCCGCTTAGAATATAATTCTTGCACAAAAAATCTGAATGCTTCCACGCCTCAATCACGAGAAAGCGTTCAGTTTCTGGAGTTCCATCGGACAGCACAGGAACATTTTCCTTGATGAACTTCTGGAGACTTCGAGTAGTCAAATAGAAGAACATCTTTTGCTGCCAGCGCTTGAAATCAATCCCAGAAAATTTTTCGGGTTTCTCCGCCGGTGCCAATGCTGCTGGTGTTGTTCGGCTCGTTGAGGCATTGGCAGTCACCATTGGAACAGCTTGGTTGACATTATCATTAGTCATTTCCATAAAAGAATGACACAAACGTTAAAATCATGTAGATTTTAATCTCCAATAGAGTACAAAACCACAATGGTTTTACTCTCCAGAAACAGTGAGTACAAATACAGAAAATATATTAAATTCCTTAAGCTTGTTAGTAAACTGTATTTGTAAAATAATCCTGGAAAATATAAATGAACATAAACAGAAACAGAATTTTAATTCGAGCCCACTGAATTCACAGTGTTTCCTTAAGGAGTTTAATCCCCTCCTAGTACCCAAGGTTATGGATTATTTCCTCCCAGGATAGAACGAATTACACACTGGTGTAGTGGTACTTTAAACCCTAGTGTTTCAGCGAACACAAAGTTCGGTAGCAAATCACACTTACTGTTGCTTTCTTTGAAGTTAAAATATGCAGAAGAAAGGAGAAGAACTCAGAAAATTCGTATATAAATTCTGAGCAGAATAGTCTTGTATTTATAGCCAAAGTTGGGCTGAAATCTGAAGAGGTGCAACTCTTCAGAATGGCTGTAATATTTTACTATTAACAAATAAATTTGGTCCAAAAAATTAATCAATCAATCATTTGACCGAAGCCGAAGCCGAAGCCGAAGCCGAAGCCGAGCCGAGCGAGCGACGACGACGACGGTGCGAGGCTTGCCTTCTTCTCAACTCTTTAAGAGCTAGAAGAAGAGCAATGACTTATATACCCATAAAAATCCTCTTCCTCTTCCAATATGGGACAATGTCCCTTTGCCAAGGGGGAAACTTAAAATTTCACTTAAAAATTTCATTTTCCTCCATTTCCCGTTCACCCTATTTTAAGCATATCATATACTTAAAATCCCAACAATTCGTTTCCACATTAATATTTATGTATAAAAAAATTGTATGCATAAATGAATAGCTATAATAATTAAAAATATTTCTTTTTTAAGGGTTAAAAAGGTATTTTTCTCCTCCTCCCTTACCCTACTCCTCCCCCTTAGTTGATGAAAAAGCATAAATTTCCACATCCATTTAAAAATATAAATTTGTCTTTGCTTTTTAGTCTTTGGACAAAAATCAAATCTCGTGCTTTCAATTCTTTGGCATTAATATCTAGCTAGTGTTTGTTGACTTTTCAAATTTAGCTGCTCCACTAATTTAAGTGCAAAGATTCTTCCAAATTAAAGTACAATCTTTTTGGAGTTTCTTATCCGGGTGTTTGATATCTGCATTGATATCAACTAAATACGAATTCGTACCGAAAAGTTCTACATTGTGGGTAAAGCGCTTTCTAATAAAGATGATTTTATACCTGATGCTCGAAATCGAAACCTTAAGTTAAGGATGAAGAAATACTTACGGCTCCGCCACAATCCAGACAATAAAGCTAAAACGCATGTCTCCAATGGCAACTAAAGGAAAGATTTGAATTTGGTTAGTCATTATTTGAAGTTAACAAGGTGCAATTAAGGTTTAAATCTTTAATTATAGGTTATTGTAAAACGACATGAATCTAACTTTTCCAAAAAGTGTAATTTCTCAACTTTTTTATTTAAGTTTTCCCACTCCTTGGGACATTCCCTAAAAGGTAGGAGTAGAAAGTTTAGTGGAGAAACTACTAAACAAATGTAATTAAAGAAAGATTAATTTTCTACTGTTTCCGTGTTTCGTGAGCCGAGGATCTATCGGAAACAACATCTCTATCTTTATAAGATAGGGATAAGGTCTGCGTACACATTACCTTCCTGAGACCCCGTTTATGGGATTACACTAGAGTTGTTGTTGTTGTTATTGTTGTAATTAAAGGAAGATTAATTATACGAAAAGGTTTCTATTTGATTGTATAAATTAGAAACAAGTTGTCAGCTCTCAATGTTTAATTTGGAAATATTACTTTTTTTAAAAGGAGTTGTATTGATTGTATAAACTTGAAATAGACTTTTTTTTTTTCAAATCAAATAATTTAATTGTAAGGGTCACATCACAAACTAAAGTGTAAATAAATACCCATTAGCTACAATTGAATGACAAAGGTGTATTTAAAAGACATGTGTTATGCATTTATCTGTTTGGTAAAATTATTATGTTCAAACAAATATTTATCCCTACTAAATGAACCGTTATTTACAACAGAAAACTTAATCCAAATGTTGCATCACAATTTAATAAGATAACATAAAAATTCTTTACCTTTCATCTGTTGGTATATAAGTTAAACGCTTATAAAATATATAATATAGTAAAACTAATAAGTAGTTTTCTTACTCACAAAATAAAAATTGTGAATTTTGCATTACAGCTTTGTCCTGGCAAGGAAAGTCAAATTAATCTCTTGGTTTCAATACATCTGCTTTATTTATTTATATTTTTATTATTTTCTGCTTTATTGACTACTCAATTTTCTCATTTCCACTCACTCATTTAGTGGGAAGATTTTATCACGTCGTAGAGGACAATGACACGACACAAGTTAGACATATGTCAACTAAATTTCGATTAAAATTTGATTAGTCAATGTTTGAAGTTAAAAACTTGCAATTTTAGGTAGAAAGCTTAAATAAACAAGTTTGGAACAAAACAGTATAAGCAACTTCGAAAACATGCACCAACAAAAGTCGTGCTGGAGTGGCAAGATCAATAAACATGCATCCTAATTATAGGTCTCGGGTTCGAGCCCTAGGTATGGAGTCATCTTTGTTAAGGACAGCTTCACACCCCCTCCCAATGTGAAATTTACTGGCGCGAATCCGAATTTAGTCAGGCTCCAATACGGAAACCGGACACCGGGTGAGAAACAACACAAAAAAAATTAAAAACATGCTAGACTGGTAAACATAAATATTAGTTTCGGAACAAACTAACAATTACTTTCTTAATGTTGATACTACATAACAAAAAAAAAGTTTATAAATATAACCAAACAATTTTTTGAAAAAAAAATTGAAAATTTTCTAAAAAACGTTATATAAAAAATTAAACCAAACTCACCAACTATTTGCTTTTTTGCTTTATTTGTAAGCCGTCCGTTTGGTGTTGACTTCATTAAAAAGAAAACTTAAAATAAAGTATACGAAAGAATTTATCTTTTTGAATTTTAATTATTGTACTTCTTTCCACGTCTTATAGTCCATGAATTCACAGAACCTAGGATTCATGATTAGGAAAGTGTTGAAAATGACCATAAATATAGTTAGCTGCCGTCTGGAGTAGGTATTTAGAGTCTAATGACAAATATCTTCATTTCTTAAATTTCTTTTCTTTTATTTTATTTTTTTTGCTTTACTTTCCCATGAAAGTTTGAAATGAGATTAAGTGGAGTAATACGACCAGTGGGAGTTTGTATAATCGACTACATCACTTATAATTAAGGAATAGTTGTTGCTCTTTTTGTTTTACTTCCCATACATGGACAATCTATTATTTGAGTAGCAAATGTGTATTAATTGCTCTCAGTTTGAGAAATATATGAAGTTAAATAATTAAAAATAATTTTTTGCAATAGGTTTTAGTCACAACTACAAAATCTAGAAGATAGAATGATACTCCACTCTTACTTAAAACCCTAATTCAGCTCTATCTTTGTATCAAGACTTTTCCTTAAGTTAGTTTATTTTTAATATTTGTCAACTGCGATGACTTCTATAAATGTCCGTAGAGTTAAAAGGTAAAAACTTAACAACATCATGTGTTTACATTGAATCAATACATATTTTCACTTTATTAAATTACTTAACGATAATAAGTTTAATTGGTTTGGTATAAACACCCGATACTTGATAAGTATTTATCAAAGTTAAGGATACTTCTAAAGGGACACTTGAGTTTGTTATTCTTCCTTTTCTTTTCCTTCTCCATCTTTTACTTTTCTAAAAACACTACGACTTAACAAGTGCCATGTCAAGAAACATAATAGTATGATCTGAACTTTTTTTATAACCCAACACTTTTTGGACAACTAGACTGCTGTACATGTTAAATGTGGACCACATAAAAGGCATAGAGTGAAAGAAAAATCAACAATTAAGGGAAGAGGGAGATAGGATAGGAAAAAAGATTGGGAACACATATTAATTAAGGGGCATTCCGAGAATTGAACTCGGGACCTCTCGCACCCTAAGCGAGAATCATACCACTAGACCAAATGCCCTTGCTGACACTGAACTTTAGTACATCCTTTTTAATAGAGAGAAAATTTTACTGACCTGCAAATGGTCTTGGCAATTGCAACAGATTTACCACCCCCACCCTCCACAAATTATTAGCCCATGTTTCACATAAAAACTTACACTCACTCAACTTTAAAGGACATTGTTCATATATATTTCTTGCTCTGTGAATGAATAAGGTCTGCGTACAGTCTACCATCCCTAGACCCCACCCCACTTGTAAAACTACTCTACCATCCCCAGACCCCATTGTGGGACTAGACTGGGTATGTTGTTATTGTTGCTCTGTCAATGAATAAAAGAGAGTATTTCCGTCTTTCCACTCTGACAACTAAAGCTCCTCATTAATATTTTTCATATGATAAACGTACAAGGTTTTGACCATTCACAATTACGTGGAGTGACACAAGCAAAATTAGCAAATAGCATATCAAGAGCATAGCAGTGTTTCCCGGTCAAAAGAGCGGTATAAACTTGATGTTGAGTAGTACAGAATAGAACATACGAATAAACCAATACATTGAATCATTCTCCGTGTGATGTACCAGAAAAAAATATACTTTGAAGCTTTCAACAGACGAGCTTAAACAGTTACTCCCTAAAACTCCTGGCGCGGCACACCCTCTTGCAAAAAGTTTCCAAGTAGCCTTTGGTCAAGAACCATGTTGGGCACCTGAAATCATATTTTTGTAAGCACAAAGTAGTATAAGCTCAAGAAAGGGGATTAGTGGAGATAAATCTAATAAGAAAATTAGCCTTGCCTTGTTGCCGAAGAAGATCTTGGAGTTGTTGGTTATAGCTTCAATGAATCGCAGTTCTAGAAATTCTGGAGTAAGCTTCAGCTTATTTGCTTCTGCTTCTCTCATTGTTCTGAAAAATTCCAGATATGGTTAGTATACTCATCAACGGGAGAAACTATCTACTCTCTATATTGTTCTGCTTCTTTTTTAATAAGAGTGGTAGCCAAGCAAGCTAACGCGACCTCAACTAGCCCACCTGGTACCTCCCCACAAGCGCAGATACTGTGAAAGTCTGCCCAGCGAGGCTTAGGCAGACGGAAAGAAAAAGCCTAGTACGTTTTGCCTCTGCTTAGATTTGACCCTGGTGGTCTCATGGTTTTGGTCCCACTTCATTGACCATTAGGCCTCATCCTTAGGTGCTCTCTGACATAAACCATACAGGAGGTAAGTTTAGAGAATTCACCGATAGTAAGCTGCATCTGACAGGCTCTTTTCACGAGCTAAGTACATTGAATTTGCAATTTCCTCTTGCTTCCTTGCACTATCTTTTTCCATCAACTTCTGTTCCATCTGAATCTTACTAACATGAGCGTTCCTTTCAGCTTCACTAATTGCTATCTTTTTCTGTGTCTCTGCTTCCTTCTCAGCAACTCTCTGTCTCTCTACTGCAATCAAGACCTGTAACACATCATTGATGGGGTTACCAATTAAGTCACTCTTAATACAAGCCCTGAGCAACAATGGCACGTTGTGAAATACATTAATTGTCGGTATTAAATAGCTGCTGACTGCTGTTATGATAATAGGTTGAGAGTAGGAGTGGCAAAATGGATAAAGAAAAACAGTTAACCACCCATATTATCCACTAAAAAATTGGTTGAATAATGAACTTTTTAAAAACGGGTGAAATATGGATAAGAACCATATTATCCATTTAGAAAATGGATAACCAATGAGTAACCAATGGATAACCAATAGGCCTAACTTTTACATTTGTAAAGCCTCAAATTGGGGTTCCTCAAGTTAGGGAGACTAAGAATTGTCCCAAAAGTGAGCATATACAAGAAGTCATGGATAATATGGGTAACTCATATTATCCGCCGGTTAACCCGTTTTTTATCCGTATTAAATATGGGTCCGGTCGGATAATTGATCTGTTTTTTCATTACCCGTCTTCGATCCGAACCATATCCGACCCGACCCGACCCGCCCGTTTGCCACTCCTAGTTGAGAGAAACGTTCACTCATCAACTAGCCCTTTTATGCATGTACTTTGAAACAATAATGCAAAGACAGATCTTGAAGTTTCTTTCCAACACACCAAAACTTCAGTTTGGCCAAAGATGAGACAAAAGAAAATGTAGAGTTCGGCCAAAGATAATACAAATAGAAAATGTAGAGCTCTCCTCTTAATACCTTGGTACGCTCCTGTTCCATGTTCTCAAAATTTCGTCTTATGCTTTCTGGGATGGAAGGTTTTGTAATACGCACACTAAGAATCTCAATACCGGGAGCATATCGTGTGCAGTCGGCCTGAAGAGCATCTTTCATTTTTTCATCAATCTGAAAATGTTTTGGCAGGCACCTCGTCAAGACTACTCACAATAACGTCGGCTAAAATAAATTTACGAATTTTTGTTTTAGAATCGATGTAAGTAATCAGCCATATTTCTCGCCTTGCAAGGCATATCACGGAGTTTAAGCATGAAAATAGAGCATGTCTAAGTGAGAAAAGCATGACTCAGCAGGTTAAAACCAGAACAGTTAGAAGACAGCTTAATCCTTATGCTAGCCAGGGAAATACGCAAAAGTGACAATCTGTGGATGACAACATTACTGGATGCATTAAGCAGCACAAACACCAGAAAGAAATAAAAAAGGCATAATTCATAAATGTTGACTACAACTGGCAGACCAATCTGTCTATAGAGAGGCCAAGTAGATTCTTACCTGATCAAACATGTCAATATACACTTGTTGAAGGCTGTGACCACTGCAGAACTGATTGATCTCATGGTGGATCTTGTCATATATCCATGTATTATCATAATTGACCCCATAATTCAGCAGAGTATCATATACGTGGTCCTTACGAAGGCGGTTAACAACCTAAAAGCACATGAAACAAACAAGATGAACAATGCATTCCTGCATATAGCATCACTACAAGGCAGATGGTTTACTTCTATTTTGTCAAAGTTGATCATCACGCCTCCTTTGGTCCCACAAGGAATATCCCTAACCTGCATTAGCACATGATCCAGAGCCATCACTCACCTTATTCTTCATTAGGGTTTATATAACCTAAGAATCATACTCGCTAGAAATTTAGAATCTCAGAAATTTTGAGATAAAAAACCTTAAAAAGATATAATAAAAGAGAGATAAATGTTACCAAATCTGTTTGAAGAGTAACTTGAATGGGTTCAAACTGAGTTATAAAGGGCAGTTTCAAATGAAAACCTGCACACACAAATATACATGTTCGATCAACAATAGACTTGAAAAGAAGGATACACCCCCAAGAAAATGCAAATGACCAGCTAGCTGAAGCACCAAATATAACCTGGATCAGTTATTGTATTCAAAAGGGCACCTCCTCTCCAATAGACTCCAACATGACCTTCCGGCACTTGATGCAAAATGGATAAGCTATTATTTAATGTTGACATAGAAGGAGCCACAATCTGCAAATGACTTAAGATGTCCCAGTTATACATTTAAAGAAGAAGAAGATGTCTCAATTCTAATAAATCATATCCCCAACATGTAAGTCACAGTTATTATACCTAAGTCTGATTACCAAGTCACTCAATAATGCAATACAAATTGAGAATCGTTTACCGTAGCATTAGACCATTGCCAATATTCAGTGTCAACCAATTGGCAGGTGAAATCCAAGACAGTTATATCTAAAAACAATGTCCAAGACAGCTATATCTAAAAACAATCAAACAACAAAAGTTTTACCAGAAAGGCGACTTGATTTTTTTTTTCGTGTGTGTGTGTGGTGACCAATGACAAACACTAGAGAAGTACGACAACTAATCTTTGAACATTTTAACAAAATAGAACCCCAGTCAAAACTGAGAAGAAGCACACCAGGTGCTGAGCATTCATGCAGCAAACCTTTATCCTGTTTGCAAATGTTGTCTCAAACAACCAACTCAATCACAGTTACTCTAAATGTCTGCAAAAATTTATGATATAATGAAGACAGCTTCCATTAAGTTGATTAAATCAGCAGCTTATATACCCTGAATACATCGAATCATGGAGAAGAGTGTCCTCCCCTTACTGCATTAGCTAGGTAACGCCTTTTCCTAATTATGAAATCAAAGTGGGTATGGAGTAGGGGCATTGCTAATAGCATTTGATGAATCTTACACCCCTAATGCCATTAAGCTCCACTTTTAAGGGACTAACAATACCACAGAAGATGTAGCATGTAACAATGGATATATGACTGCCCCAATCCCAGGAATATCAGAAATTGTATGTGAAAGCTAGTAGGAGGAATGTAGGCAAATCTCTCATGCTTGTACAAAAGGGTTCCTGTGAGCTGTTAATAATCATTCTCAAAGTCAATACTAATAATTACTGACAGGAGGACCATGAAGATCAGACGCGATAAACAATCATTTCTCCATCCATATATCTCAAGGGAAGTAATAATCCCAAAGGAAACAGAAGTGTCAATTATCTAACCATTTCTTTTTTTGAAGTGTCAATTATCTATCCATATACTTTTAAGTCACAAGAATGGCAGGCAAGTTACAAATATCAAGCCAAATGTAATCTGATATATTCAATGAGACGATTACATAACAGAGTTCAGTTATGGATTACCTCTAAAGATGTCAGGAAAGCACCTATAGTAATATACTTTTTGCTGCAAAAGCAAGAATTTGGAAATTTTTACCAAGAACTATTAGGAAATAAATTTATTGACCATAAGGTTATTGCACAAGAGAACTATCATTATTTTAATACTTTGACCATTTATAAAACATGCTTTTTAAACTAAAATAAAAAAATATCTGGAAGAATATGACAGTAAACTAACACCAAATGTTTCGAAGAATAAACGTTGAATGCTTGTATATCAACAGAATTTCTTTAGCTAAATATCAGTCATCTACTCTAACTATCTTTCACCATAAAAAGCACACCAGTCGAAATGATTACATCCAAAGTCTTAAACTGGATTGAACTTAACTAGATAATACAATTAGAGTGAAAGGCCCTCCAAATATATCAAGAATCACTATGTTAAACACTTGAACAACTGTGGCGATTGGACCAACGGCACATACCTCGACTATTTCACGGGCGTTGTACCGAGTAACTCCACCCACCAAGGCTTCGATTATGGGAAGAAACCACATAACTTCTTTTTTCCGGCCTCAGTTAGAATTTGGACCCTGGTCTTCCAAGGTCTTTATTCCAACTTTATCGACTGGCATGCCAAACCCTTGAGTGCTACACATCTACTACTTCTATAGCTCAATCAAACAACCTACCTTAATTTGTCTTTCTTTTTCCCTAAAAAGCAGTTCAATCAAAATCATTACATCTTAGATTGGTTTTCACTTAAGTAGATAATCCACTTAAACTGAAAAGCCCTTTCTAAAAATCAAAAAATGGTTTAAACTGAAAAATCCACTCTATAGTGGTCAACGCAATTATCAAACACAATGAATATATTGAAGCCTTAACATGGTGATTTATCAAGCACCTAGTGCATATACTAGTACTAAACGCAATTATCAAGCACTGTGCATTCCACATCTTTATCACAAATTAATAATTGCAATAAAAAATAAAAAGGAAGAATCAAAACTAAGAAAATGAAAAAAATAAGAAGAAGAAGAAACTATAGATAATTTACAAACACTTATATGATAATTTAGGGATTAAGATAAGTTCACCAATACGAAAATGGCGATGAAGGACACAAGCACGGTGAGAATGGGAGTAAAGTCTCCGCCACCAGCTCCGGCGCCGGCGCCGGCGCCGGGCCTCGGGATTTGGGGAGCACCTTGTTGTCTCTGCTGTTGTTGTGCATCCATGGCGAATTTTGTTTTCTTAGCACTCAAGTTTGTTGAATTTGTCTATTAAGTCTTAAATTAAATAAATACAGTTTTTTTTTTTCTCGATTAGAGTAAACGGAAGTAAGAGATAAAGTTCGGGCTTGGATTTTGGGCGGGCCTTGACTTTGGAAGTCCATTAGGACTTTCACGTTCGACGAGCTTTTCCTGGTAGAAGGAAGGAATCATTTCCGAATTGAAGCCCAACAGAAAGCTGAATTTAGATGACGTTTGGAGAGGGAGAATGTCACACAGTTATCCATGAAAATAAAAATATTTATCTTTGTTTATCTATTTATTTTTCTACCCATAGATTAATTACATTTTTCTACCATAGTAATTTTTGTGGGAAACTTTTTCTTTAGTCTCCAATTCTTTTTTATTTCTATGCTTTTTTTCTTCTTTTTTTTCTTTTTTCTCGTTTTTTCTTATTTTTTTTCTTTTTTCCTTTTTCTAATTTCATTTAACTTCTTTTTTTTATATTCTTTTTCTCTTCATAATCTAATTTCATTTACTATTTTCACTATTTTTTATTATTCTTTTTTATACTATTACTAAAAAAAATTAAATTGTGTACCAATTAAATATAGCTAATACAACCAAAAAATATTAACTAACATATGATATCAGTATACTATATAACTATACCAACAGGGTATACAATTGTACGCAAAGAGTAAAACAAAAATTTTAATTCAATTATAAAACTGAAATAATATTAGTTGTCAATAAAAATTCCAAAAAATTCTAAAAGGATCTAATTGTAAGAGTATACTGTTACAATATATTGCATACTATAATGTATTTATTTTTTTGCATTTTCAATTTGCCCCTCACGCTGGGTAAAAGCTTAAAGCAAATTAAAAGGGAAAAGGCAAGTGAATTTACGGGTAATAAATATACTATTATAGTATATTATATATTATTACAGCATATTGTTATGGTATATTGCATATTATTATATACTATAACAATTTATTGTATATTTATAATAGTATACTGTTGCAGTATAACTATATACTCCTATAGTATATTGTGTACTGTAGCGTATACTATTAGGTAACTGTGTTCTTCTTCGATTATTACAATATACCGTTGCAGTATATTGTAAACTAATTGTATATTGTTGCATTACAGCTATATACTCCTACAGTATATTGTATACCGTAGCGGTATACTATTGGGTAGTTGTGTTCTTCTTCGATTTTCAGCTGAAATTTCGATCTCAATCACCTCAAATCAGCTCCAAATGCTATCAAATTTCAGTATGAACTTCCCAAATACTATAAGCAATATTTAACAGCACCCACTTTGAAACAAACAAGAAATCTTCAAAAATAAAATTGAGCTTCAAACAGTAAATCTTCACAATAAAATTTCAAATTCTGGAGCTTCAAGCTCAACAATGGTGGGTCTTCATACACACATAAAAATCATAAGAAGAGGAGGTAGAGCAATAGCTTGGGTTGACCCTCTTAATGAAGATCGATCTGTCAGAGAAAAAGTAGATCCATTTAAGTCCACTACCAAGTAAGCTTGCAAAAGTAAAGTCACGTGTTTTAACATTCTGTACTTCAAATGCAAAGGCAAATAGTTGTGGGCAAGGTAAATAGTCTTGGTTGCATAGGTAGGAAAAGTAAATAGTTTAGGTTTGGGTATTTAATAGTTAGGGCTTAATGGGTTAAAGTGAGATTTTCTCATTAAATAATGCTAATTATAAACATGTTATAAATAGAATTTTATTCATGGTGAATGTCTATATTTAGGGAGATTCTAGGGTTTATTACTTGGTGGCTAAGTCACCCTCTCCCTATAAATAGAGGGTTCTATTCCATTGTAATTCATCCCAAATCAATAAGAATTCTCTCCCTCTACTTTTCTCTGCAATACTCTTCTTCTTCTTTTATTGTTTTATAACACGTTATCAGCACGACACTCTAACCAATTGAGTAGAAGCTTTGGGATTGTAATGATTGTCAATTATTCCATGAACTTCCTTTATGATTAAATTCTGGATTTAAGGTAAGTATTTTACTTTATTTTTCTCTTTTAAATTCTTGAAATTCTACAATTTGATTTCAAATACAAGCAAAGACAATAAAGTTTGATTATAACTCTAATGGAGTTTGTAAGAAATTATAACCACCTGAAGTGGTAAAATTTCTATGCCTCGCCATGATCAAATTCATGTATGATCAAATTATAAGGATTCTCAAAATAATCTTTCACTCTGCGAAAAATATTTGTCATCGATTTGACATGAGATTTTGTAAAGCACATATAGATGATTATGGTCTGTTCATGATGCGAATGTGACAACATCTGATTTATGAATACATATTCATTCTTCAAAGAATATGAACGTGCTAGTGGTAGTGAATATACCGCACTCACCTCTAAAAGGAGGTTTGAGATGATATAAGAAAGTAATGTCATTATTATGGCATGAATGGTCATTGGTCACGTACCTATTATACGCCAAAATATTTTGGCATTGTGATTGTTAAAAGACAACGGTAATGCAAGAAACAGATCTTGCATATAATTTTGACCATAACCATAATGGTATAACTTTCTGTTTAAAAGAGGATATTCACCATATGGGTGTTGATGAATATGTAGTACTACAAAATTAAATTAGTAGAACTCTGCAAGAGCCAATTATACTATTTGTAGAACACATAATTACACTAA